AAAATTCTCATATACAAAGCCATAGTAAGACCAGTGGTTATGTATGGGTGTGAGACTTGGACCTTAAACAAAAACTCAGAACGCACGCTCAACTCCTGATAGAGGAAATTATTGAGCAGAATATGAGGCAGAATCTTTGAGAATTGAATTTGGAGAAGAAGAAAGAATGAGTAGCTGCGGGAACTCTATGGTGAATCTGATATTGTAGCATTGATAAAATGAGCCAGAATCAGATGGTTAGGTCATATAGAAAGAATGCCAAAGAAGATGCTGCATGAGAAGCCGGATGGCAAAAGAAGTAGAGGGTGCCCTCGGATCAGATGGCTAGATGATGTTGAGGACGATCTGAGGCGGCTTGGCGTTTGAAGATGGAGGGAAGTAGAACAAGACCATGGAGATTGGTTCGCTGTAGTAGAGGAGGCCCGGGTTCTTGGAGGACCATTAGCACCATAATAATAATAATAATAAATTAATCTGAAGTGGCTGGACTTCTGGTTTCCCACCTCAGAAACTTACCCCGCAAAGTGAGAATAAAGAATGGAAATAATAATAATAATCACTTGCAATGAATTATAAAAAGATGATAACAGGGCAGACAGATATTCCCAAAACGTTTTGTGAAGGCGTTACTGTGCTGATTCCCAAAAAAGAAGGAGATCGATTGGACCCCCAAGACTTTCGGCCAATTACTTGCCTCAACGGTGTGTATAAGATTTTAACATCCATTCTCACAAGTAAAATTGAATTTCACCTGCAAACCAATAATTTGATTCCACTTGAGCAACTTGGCTGTAGGAAAGGAGCCCAAGGGGGTAAAGAACTTTTGCTCATCGATTCGCTAATTGCAGGCCAAACGACCATGAATAAAAGAAATTTGTCAATAGCCTGGGTTGATAACAAAAAAGCATTTGACTCAGTTCCTCATAGTTGGCTTTTAAAAGTTCTGGATTTATATAAAATCCATCCTTATATTAAAGAACTTCTGAGGAAATTGATAACCAACTGGAAAACAAGACTGAGAATGGGAGATAAGCAATCACCTGAATACATCACCATTTCAAGAGGTATATACCAGGGAGACCGCCTCAGCCCCCTTTGGTTTTGTCTTGCAATGGCTCAATTGTCAATTTTATTAAATCTTGAAGAAAGCGGATACAAAGTAAAATTTAATGAATTAAGTGCAATGATCAGCCATAGCTTTTATATGGACGATTTAAAACTCTACGCAAAGAATATATCCCAGCTACAGTCTATGGTAAAGACATTTACCCGCTTTAGTGACTCCATACAGATTTCACTTGGGACTGAGAAATGCGCAGTTCTTCACGTTATAAAAGGAAAACCAAATAATTCCGAAAACTTGTTTAATGAAGAATATCATATTAAGAACCTTCAGAAAGAAGATATGTAGAAATATCTATGGATAGAGCAGCATTTAAAAATAGCCAGAAAGGATTTAAAATATAAATTGATAGCTACATTTAAAAAAAGACTAAAGATTATCCATAGAACATATCTTTCTTCAGGATTAATGATAAAAGCTATAAATACGTGGGTTATTCCTTCCTTATCTTACAGCTTTGGAATTTTATAATGGTCCACAATGTCACTCCAGGAATTGGATAGGTTAATAAGAACAAGTATGATGGGTTCCAGAATGCACCACCCGACTGCATCTATGGCAAGGCTTTACCTGCCAAGAAAGGAAGAAGGGAGAGGTCTTACAAATATTGAAGAGTCTTGTCAAAGTCAAGAAAAGAACCTAAGGGAGTACTTTAAACAAAGCGTACTGCCGTGCCATAACATAATCTGCAATCTCGACCGCGGACACACTGCTCTACAACTATCCTCTCATGAAACTGTTCCAATCTTTATTACCGACAAAGACCGACTGGAAGAGTGGAAGTCAAAAGCATTACATGGAAGGTTTTTTCACCAGCTTCAGCAGACTGAAATGGATAAATCTTTGTCTGTTAGCTGGCTGGTAGGAGGAAGTCTGCTCCCCGAGACTGAAGGTTTGAAGAAAGCAATCCAGGACCAGGTTATAGCTACCAGATCCTACTGGTGACACGTCTTGAAGCAACAGAATGTATCAGAGAAATGTAGGCTCTGTGCAAGCACATACGAATCCATTCAGAATGAAGCTCAGAAAGCTGTGCTGTTGAATACTGCCAGAATTGTAAGAAGCTTTCTCAATATTCAATAGAAATTAAAATAGAACATAACTGAGATGGTTGGAGTTGATTCTCCCCCTCTCAAGTAAACAAAAAACCTTTTGTAAAAGTGTTGACAAATAAAATAATAATAATAATATATATATATATATATAAACTTATATATGTATATACATATTATATATAGCAAATAGCAATAATATGATAGCAAACAAATATATTAGAGGTACATGATTGAATAAAAGATTAGAAAGTAGCATCAACAGGAAAAACAAGATTCAAATAAGGACTGATCATATTGGGTTGGCAAATAAGTCCTTTTGGTTTTCCAGGATGAAATAAAACTCAATGTATTATAGACATAAAATTTATTTTAATTTATAATATATATATTTTTTAATAATCTATTTATTGAATAATAATACAACCAGCCACTGCTGGAGGGCTATGAGTATTAGGGCTAAAAGTTCTCATTTATACAATATATAAAAATAATAGAGAAATAAATATAAATATAAAAAGTAAATAAATAATACTGAAAAAGAAAGTAAATAAAAAAAACAAAAAAAATAAAATAAAAACTTCTAAACACAATCAGGCCACAGACAGGACTCCAAAGGTATATTTACAAAAGATTTCGAGACCACTGCCGTTTCAACCTTCGAGGGGGATGGTATGGATGCTCAGAACTGGATAGGGATTACTCTAGAGGATTGGGATGATGAATAAGGTTCTGGTGAAAGTTGGAGAATCTGAATGGGATGATGTCATGGACATATGGGAGTTCAGTTCATGGTGTAGGGTCTTGTTCGTGACATAATATGGAGAATTGACTATTGTTCGAAGGACTTTGGACTGGAAGGATTGGATACGTTTGATATTCGATGATTTAGTCATCCCCCACAGTTCAAGTCCGTAGAACCAGAGAGGTTTCAGTATGGTCTTGTAGATTAATATTTTGCTTTCTGTTGGGCGATGAGATGTTCTGTTTAGTAGTCTATATAGCTGACCAAATTGTCGGTTAAGCTCTTGTCTTTTAAGTCTCGTATGGGGGTTCCAAGTTAATCTTTTGTCTAGAAGGAAGCCAAGGTATCGGACTGTGTCTGAGTAGGGAAGAGGAATTGAATTAAAAAGGATTGGCGGACAGGATCTGCGTCAAAGAGTGAAAGTGACATGTTTGCATTTTGATTCATTAATTTTGATGTGCCAGTCATTGCACCACTGCTCAATGAAGGAGAGGTGTCTTTGCAGGTTTTGGAATGCTATTAGAGGATCTGAGTGGGAGGATAGGACGGCAGTATCATCAGCAAATGTTGCTAGGAAGGTATCAGGAATTGAAGGAATGTCGGCGGTGAAAAGGATGTAGAGAACTGGGCCAAAGACACTCTAATATGTTGACCATTAACATGACCTTTTCCCATCTTTCCAATAACTACATAATGCCATGTTCATAGAATGTCTGGAGCTAATTGCTAAAATCTGATCCAAATGGTTTTTGATGTCCTCTTCCTTTTGGGATTTCTTTCCATTCATGGAGTTCTGTAGAGACCGGAATAAGTGGTAGTCACTTGACACTAGGTCTAGTGAATAAGGAAGGTGTGGCAAAAGGTCCCATCCAAGTCTCAATAATTTATTTCAAGTGACCAATGAGGTGTGGGGCATTGAGGAACATAACACCCTTCCGATTTTGCCAGTTCTGGACATCTATTTTAAATTGTTTGATCCAATTTTGTTTATTGTGAGCATTATAAAGTTGAATAAATTATTTGTTCTGATGGCAAAAGCTCATAGAAAATAACACCCTTGAAATCCCACCGTATGGAAAGCATTATCTTCTTTGGATGCAATCCAGGTTTTGACATTCTTCTAGGAGCCTCACTACTAGGTCCTCAAGATTTTATATGGACTACATTATCATAAAATATTCATTTTTCATCTCCTGTTAACAACCTTTTCGAAAATGGGTCGTTATGTTGCTATTTCCGTAGTGAATAACAAACAGAAATGCGTTTTGCCAAGTTGACTTCAATTAGAACTAGGGACCCAAACATTAAGCATGAAAACATAGTTGAGCTTGTGAAAATGGTTTTATAAACTTATGCGCGACACATTTAGAGCTATAGCAATCTATCGCACTGATTGGGTAGGATTTTGATCAGCAATGACCTTAACGTTGCTCGATTCAATTTCATTTGGGTGACCAGACCGTTGAGTACCAATGATGCCAAAATTTCCTGAATGAAATTTGGCAAACCAATTTTGACAGGTGCATTCAGTTATGGCACAATCCCCGCACAAACACTGCAAATTTTTCTATGATCTTCTGCAGCACACTTACCGTTTTTAAAATAATACAACAAAATATGCTGATAATGAATATATTCTTCCATATTCACAGTGTAATAGCAAACACAATACTAAGCTAGTTTCAACAAGAGTTAACAGATATAATTGTTGACATATTACAAACAGGATAAACAATCCACCTTAGGGATTAATTCATCAGATAAGATGTGTATCATAGGGACATATAAACCGAAAGGACTTATTTGCCAACCCAATACAATATTCGAATAAATAATTTTTTATGCATAAGGAATTGAATAAAAACCTGGTATGTAATACCATCACACATGATTTGCTTAGTAAAATAACTTGTATACTATTAAAAATTAAACTTTAGAATTCATAATTATTTATATTTAATCAATAATATATATTGATATTCTATTGAATAGTTTACTTTTAAGAAATTGTTTGTTAATTTGGATGTATTTTTCTACAATTTTAAGCTACATCTATGTCTAGTACTAAGTAAACAATTACCTATTGATTTATGTTTTGCAAGATCTTCATAGCATCCAAATGCAAGAGGTATATTATGTTCGGCAGCAAATTTTTCAGCCTTTACCTTTTTCCTAGCAGCAACACCCACTACTTGGTGTTCATCATCTGGTAAATAATTTAAAGCATTGACAAAATCATTGCACATTTTGCCTACACTCATGATTCCCCATTTCAAAGCCATTTTATAATTTAAAGTTGAACTAAATCAATATCTGTAATAAATGAAAAAATAATATACACTTTAAATAAATCAAAACGACTATATTTAAGAATATCTTTCATATTAACTTTAATAATAAGGGAACTCAAAGTAAAATATAGTATTAGTCTAAATTTATCTTAGAAAAAAATTATTAAGATTGAAAAATTTAGAAACATTTATTGTTCTTTACCTTAAACAGATTGTTCAACTAAGTTTACAGCAAGTTCCAGAAAATACTTGTTTAATGGTAAATCTACAAGCACTATATATATGAAAATCAATTTCACAAAGTGAATCATAATTACTTCTTGATTTATTGTTATAATGGTAGGTTACAAACAATGACAGAATTGGCAAGTTGTTAACAAGTATGTTAACATTGAAATTTTAAGTGTTGGTGGTATGAAGTAGCAGTTTTCTGTAAAATAGCTCATTAAATCCGTTTTTACGAATTGTATCATACTTATGGTAGATAAAGAATAAGGTGGGCATTGTAGAAGCTTAGAAGACTGGCACCACTCAAAACTTTTAGACAGATCTTTGTGAGTGTACATATAAATCTATAGGTCGTATTTGTATAACGATAATTTAGAACATTTCAAATTCATAACTAAAAAATGAACGATTTTTCATTTTTACGTAATCATATTATTATTGCTTGTTGTGTATCTGTTGACACAAGATGATTATAACCAAAAGGTGAAAAATATATATGTATTTTTTTTTAGTTATGATATTGTTATTCCAAACTAGAAAATCAGGTGTTTGGTATTCTCATCTATTTAATTAAAATAAGCTGTAAAAATAATGAATAATTTAAATCAAATTTTACGAATTAGGATCTGATATTAATAGATGAATTGTACAATTTGAAAGAAACAATGTATTGTCAGAAAACTATACTTCTAAAAAAATAGCAAAGACTATGTCCCTTACTTAATAAACGTAAAAAGTTTGTTCGAACCACGAAGATAAACACACCACCATACAGCTGAAGTCTGATGTAAACTTGAGGAGTAACCAGTACACTGCTTGCAAGAGTCGACTAAACGAAAGTCGACAGCGTCTCTTTCACAGCCACACTAGATCCTTTTATTGTTATTTTTTAAAATTTTATTTAAAGTAAAATATTTTAGTACTAAAGCAAATATATTTTAGTATCACCTATTCCTACCTAAATATGTATTATTATTTTTTTTTTTAATCTTTCAAACTTCCTGATATTACAATTTATAAGAGGAGAACATCAAAAAGCTTGTGCCATGACTAAAACCTGCATAGGACGGAAAGGCGGCGATGTGGAAAAATAAAAAACATATATACCTAAAATATCCTGTAATTTCTTTTTTCAAGTACAAAACTACTCCGAGCAGTTTATCATCAGCTGCATCCATATTGAGGTTTCTTTAATGTATTTTAAAGGTGACAACCAACAGGATCATTATCACGTTATTCTGTTAATTATTACATTTCAGTCCAATTTCGTAAATTTCAGAAAATGAAAGAGTTTGTTAACAGTATTCGTATCGTCTTGTAAAATAGTATGTAGGTCGGAGGCTATCATTAACATCTGTTCTCTTTGTCTCCTGTCTTTCAAGCTCTCGTCCTAGATCATTTCTTGATCTTCTGTCTGTTTACGTCTCGTTATACTATTTTGAGTCTCCCTGCATGATCTTAGCTTTCAAAAATGAATTTTAACGTTTTTATTTACCTTTTAATAAACGGGAAATACACCTTCCCAGCCGCACATGGCAATACAAAATCTCATAACACCTCGCTATCTTGTGTATTTGCTCATTTCTGAAAAAAAATAACTGTAATTGGTTATACAAATTAAATTATATTATTTCTAAAAAAAAGGACACCGACGCATACTGTGGTGAGCTTACCCTACTGTTGGAAATTTGGAGAAAAAATAAAATTCAAAATTTAGAAGTGTGGCTGCATTTGTGACAAGCTAGCATCCTTTCCCCTTCATTCCCAGCATTTTTAAAAATGTAATTATCGTATTAATAATTCTCTGGTGTGAGATAATAGGAGAAGAAATGAAAACCATGTTTTTTATATTTAGATCTGGTTTGTCGGTATTTTTCTTTCAAACCTATGTGCTGTCTTTCTGTATCGGTATGTGCTGGTCAGGATTAGGTACTTCTAGTAAATATTAAATCTGCTCCAACATCGGTTTTTATAAATAAACACAGTTGCTACGACGTTTCAAACAGTTGCGGTAGACCCGGTAGAAAAACTAGGTAGACCCTATTGTTAACAAAGGTTTGAACTTCTAAAAACAGCATTCAGACCTTGCATGACCATGCCACCCAGGAGGATTTAACACGCAGGAACGTTGAATTTAAATTGACTGCCATGATTTTTTAATTTTTTTTTTTACATCGAGTTACCATCGACCCAGTTTTTGACTAAATAACATCTAATTGTCTAATGTTTTTACGTGAAATTCTTATATTTGCAATACTCACATTGCACCAGATAGTTATTTTGCACGAAACACTTATTATTTAGCATAAGATACCTGATATAAATAGAACTTGATAATTTAGAGAATTATTTTAGAGAAATTATTTTTATGAAATTCCACACACACACCAATTATCTTATTTGATCTATAATTACTTATGCTAGAAGACTATAGTGGTACAACCGTAATATTTCATATGTACTCCAATATTTTTGAAATTGAAAAAATACTACAAAGTTAAAATAAAAAACAAAATTTTGTTTATATAATTAAGTTTAAAATTGTATACAAATACAACCAGTAAATATGCACAAATTCGAAATAATGACATGAACAGACTTGAAGAGGTACCCAGTGGTAGCACTCCCTAAATAATTCCAGGTAAGAAGTTCACAAGACCATCTCCTTTTCGGACGCCTAGGAGGATTATTAGGAATCGAGGAAAAAGCAAGGCTGGAAACAAATGGATTCAGATGGGACTAGAGTTTATCATGAAAGGATAGGTGTTTGGCTCGGGCTGAATCAGCAACGTATGGAACATTGTGGTCTTTATGAATGATTTTACTAAACACCAACGATGGGGCTGTCGTACATTCAATTCCCGTGGTAAGGTCCTATCTAATGTCTCATCTTCAAATAATTATTCTATTCTCTCGCCCAAGAATCCTAAATATTGGCCAACATCCCTTAAAAAACGTCCTGATATCCTAGATATATTTATCATTTCCCAGATTTCCTCTTCCCTGACCACAATAAAATTCTTGGATGACTTTTCATCAGATCATAGTCTAGTTCAGCTATCTACATTCAAATCTCGTCCCTAAACCCTAACATCCCGCCTGAAGCGTCGTCCCCCCCCCCCCAAATGATAAAATATAATTATGTTTTATGAAAAAAATTATCTCTAAAAGTATTATTGCTTGTCTAATTACATTTAATAGTACTTAAAGAATCACTTAAGCACCAATTCATATAGGTATTTAGTTTCTTTATTTCTTCTCAAGTAATTACCGTAAAATACACATAAAAACATAATCTTTGGGGCTGAAGACGCCCCTCAAATTAAATCCTGGATCCGTTAGTGCTCCGATTCACATATTTTCCTGATCCTTGGAAACTATCTATTGTCACTAATAAAACCATGTCCTCATACATTTTTTTACATTATATTTTTGATAGATTTTACAATATCTTAATGTTCTATTTATATCTATTATTTCCTTATATAACTTCATTTTTCTTTTCTCTGTTTTAAACTTTATTCTAGATTACCATTTTCTTTTCTTATGTTACCTTATACTTTATTATGCTTATTTCATTGGTCCGGGCTTTGTTACAGTTATTATTATTTATTTCTTAGTTCTCTGTTACTGTTATCATTCTATCTACTTTGTTTTACTTTAATGTTCATTCTATCTACTTCATTTTACGTTAAGTTGTTCTATTAAAAATTATTAGTCTTTACCAGTCACCCTTTTTTAAATCTTAATTCTGTATTTTTCAATGTTTATATTTGTTTTATTCTTTGTTATTATACCTATTGTTATCTGATACTTTTCCCAGCCCAGACGAAGGCCTGAACTTTGGGACGAAACGTCGGCGAATGTAAAAATAAATAAAACTATTCATTTTATACCATTTTAATTTGACTGAACACACCAACCATCCTTCTCTTCGATTATTCACTACTGTCAACCATAAACCCACCGTTAGAACTGGTTTCCTTTGAGAAAAATTTTCGCCTCAGACTGATCGAACATGTAGAAAGGATGCCAGAAACAAGGATGCCAAGATGCCAGCTGAGGGGGAAAATTGGAGAGAAACGATACAGAGGAAGACCAAGAGTGAGATGGTTGGATGACGTCGAGAATGACCTCGGGTTTCTTGGAGTAAGAAGATGGAGGACACGAGCCTATATTATCCTATGGAAAATATAGGAATGACTGGCTTAATGTCCTTGAGAAGGCCCGTTCCTTGTATGACAGTAGCAGTAAGTTAGTAAGGCGTTGCTCTGAAGAAACTGACCATGAAATTTGCAGGCCGCTATGATTGTAACATTTGATTGTAGTCGTCTTAATTAATCCATAACGTTGAAATCAGCTAAATGTTCATAGATTTTCATAATCTCATTATTTCGACAAGTTGGAGGAGGGGAAGGTCACGCCAAACGGCCCAATATATTTGTAGGTCACTTTTTTCCTCGATTTTATGATCAAACTATCTTATGATTTAAATGGGAAGCAAACGGATGTTCATGAGTTACCCCAGATTGAAAACGCCCCAATTATGAGAATTCTCTTAGATATAAAAGTTTTAGCTTAGGATAAAATGAAGTCACTAAGTTTTAGGCGGATGTTAATAATTTGATAAAATGGGACCTGTGCCGCGGACCATGCTGGACTGCTTGATGAACGAGGCTGTTTCCTACACCCTTTATAAGTAATTATATTATTCCTAATGTTATTTTATTGCGTGTGATTTATTTTTAGGCCATTTGTGTATTAGATTTTATATATTTTTTATGTTACTGATATTTAGCCCTTATGCATATTAGACCTTATTTTCCATTGTTTATATTTATGTATTGCAATAAATATCGTTAGTGACTTACAAGTGTTCATAACCAGACCCGCCCGACTTGACCCATTCTTGAATATGCCACTGCCACATAATTCCGAATCACTGAAGATAGCTCTTGGTTTCTTTGCTCATTACTCGAAGTGGTTACCAAAATTTTCAGATAAAATCCGATTCTCGATTGATGCCAATCATTTCCACTAAATCCATTGGCTGTTTCTGTTTTCGAAAAGTTAAAAAATGATATTCCAACTCGGTCGTCACAACCATTGATAAATCTCGCCCGCTCATAGTGGAAACCGATGCCTCTAAGTTTGCACTGGCAGCTACCCTTAGTCAAGATGGACGGCCGATTGCGTTTTTCTCAAGATCACTAAGCAAATCTGAAATCAGTGGTCATCCACCAATTGAAAAAGAGGCAGCAGCAATTGTTGAATCTTTGAAACATTGGAGAGCATTTCTTCTTGGCAAGCATTTTCGCCTTATAACTGATGAAGAGGCTCTGTCTTTCATTTTTGACAGAAAGCATGGGAGTAAATTAAAAAATGAAAAGATCGCAAGATGGTAGCTAGAGCTATCTTCATTCGTTTATGATATAACTTACCGTCCCGGTGAAGATAACACCAAAGCAGACACTCTCTCCCGTGTCTGTAGTGCTTCCACTTCTACCAACTTGCTCCAGCTTCACCAATCTTTGTGCCATCCTGGTGTTACGCCTATGCACCATTGGCTCAAATCTAAGAACATTCCCTATTCACTCGAAAATGTCAAGAAGATGACTTCAAGTTGTACCATCTGTGCTGAAGTAAAGTCTAGGTACTTCAAAACTTCTGGAACCCTTGTAAAGGCCACCTCTTCATTCGAATGCAACAACATAGATTTTAAAGGGCCTCTCCCTTCCAAATCACGGAACTTCTACCTCCTCACCATCATTTACGAGTATTCACGTTTCCCTTTTGCATATGCCTGTCATGATGTTTCTGTCACCATTGTGGTTGAGTGTCTCAAAAACCTCTTCTGTTTGTTTGGAATGCCAGCCTATGTCCACACTGATCGGGAAGCTTCCTTCACCTCTAGGGAAGTCAAGGACTTCCTCCATTCAAACGGTGTAGCCACCAGCAGAACAACCCCGTATAACCCAGCAGGAAACGGGAAAATTGAACGCCTCAATGGGACTCTGTGGAGAACCATTTGTCTTTCTTTGAACACTCAAGGACTGCGGACGGGGGACTGGGAGAGGGTACTACAGGAATCCCTCAACGCTATACGCTCTCTACTTTGCAGAGCCACTAACTTCACTCCCCACGAACGCTTTTTCAGTCATCCTCGCCGCACAGCCAATGGAGCCACCTTGCCGTCTTGGTTAACCCGTGGTCCCTGTCGAAGAAGTGGAATTACTCAAGGCTAATCCACAGTACGCCCATATTCGCAGGAAGGATAGATCAGAGTCAACCGTGTCCCTGAGACAATTGGCACCTAGAGGAACTCCTGAATTATCGGAGCAGCCTTGCTCTAACGATGATGAACCCGGTGCAATATTGGAGCCCTCTCACATGCTACATCCAGAAGAACCCTCTGCCGCTCCATTTGTTCACGGCCCCCTCTCTAATGACATTGGATTCCCTGTGTGTTGAAGATCTACACGTGTGACGAAGGCTCCTTCTTAACTTAAAGACTATATAACTAATTAAAAACCTTGATGTTGCAAATCATTAATAATGTTTCAAATTTCTCTTTTGTATCTAACATTTTGCTTTAAATCTTACCAGATGTTTCCTCAAAAACCCAGGGTGAATGTGGTGATTTAATCCCACTCTTGTGGGGAAAGCTTGAACTACTTTGTTAACCTGACTTGTAACCTCGTTACCTTCTGTACATTCTGTTGATGTTTTTAAGCTAATAAAAACCTTTCTAAGGGTAAGCCATTCGTTTTTATTTCACCACAGTATCATTATACTCAAGTATATTCTAGAGCTTCCAAAATCATTTTAGGATTTAACAGTATTGAAATAATTTTTATAAAAAGGAAGCTTTTAATGAAAAATATTATAAATTGGATGAAGGAAAATCTTTCGAGGCATAAATGAAACAAAGCTACATTTATTATATATACAATAGATATATGATTAATACTAATATTGTGATCCGATTAGTTTGCATATTTCTTCTTGCCATTTTGCTATGGTCAGAGAATCTTCATGCGTCATTTTAGGTGATTCAAGCAAACCTAGAATAAATAAAAAACACATATTATTACAATATAACTGAAATATTATGACTCAAGAATATATTAATTAAACCTTTATTTATGCAATTTCGAACTTCAATTGCTTCGTACACAAGACCTTGGCTGCAGCCAAAATAGTTTTCTCCTTCTACTGGAGGAAGAGGAAATATTTTTTCCTCTCCATCATTAACAGAAATCGCAATGGGAGCATGAAATGATTCTTTAATCTAAAAATCCAAAATAAATATGTAAGAATTAGATAAATTTGAAACATAGTTTTATGAGATGTTTACATTTATATTGAATAAGGTAAAATAAATATAAATTCATAATCAAAGGCTCTAAGTAGTTAATTTAAAATGTAATTAATTAATATTAATCCTACAACAATGCCAATTTTTCTATTTAATGGAATTAAATATCTAAAAACAAATTGCATTTAAAAAATAAATTTGAAGTTACTATTTTTTTATTTTATTTGTAGTCTTCAGTATCATTTTATCCATTATTCTGTAGTGGTCCAACTCAATGTCAGAATTGGTATTCTTGATAAAAATCTCTAGCAGCGCTATAATGCTATGTTTTCTTCAGAATCTTTAAAAAATCTCAATTAAAAAAGTGTTTCAACGAGTAGGTAAAACGGTTGATGCGTATCTAGTTGGTCACGCTTTGTCCTGCTTTGTTGATTCATATTTCTTTCAAGAGCTTTCTTGGGATCTCTGATTTACCCAATGTATACATAACTAGCCCATCTTTGCATTTTGAATGTTATCTTACCCACCGTGTCTTGCTAAAAAATATATGATTCCATATGAAATTTTATTCTCCAGCTGTTAGTATTCTCTCAACATTAATACATTTTATACTGATAAACCAACATTTTATTCAGTTTAAAAAGTAATCATAATAACTGATTTCTGAGTATGAGATACATGATAGGATCGTTTTTAGGGTCTCTAGGTCAAACATTCATTCAGCGCCATCTTGCAGTATAAAGCTTGAAATATTAATTTTTTTGTATAAATCATCGATTGATGGTCTATTCTTCTCATACAGGTGCTTTCTAGCAAAATTCACGAAACCTTTCTTTTAAATTATAACAAGTATTTTGTAAAGGAAAATGTTAGTTTTTCTGGACAGAATAATGCCTCTCTGTTGACGCTGCAACCAACAGAAGAAGCGGTTCTCTTAATGTACTCTGATTTTGATTTTGGTACAAACGTCATTATAAATGTTTACAATGCCTCGAAGGTGCTATTGAAGTGGGCCACTTTGTTCCTTAAGTGATAAGAAAGCTCCAATGACATAAAATGTTTCGTATTGATATAAGTGGCATACAAGTAGTATTCTAAGCGCCAATGGCATATGGTCGGAAAAGAGGAGAAGAATATTTTTGATTTGTGGACGCAAAGTATAGTGGAACAATAAACATAAGTTGTCTGGCATTTCTCTTTCACTTCAATCATTCTCCTTTAGACAACGTTCCTCAATATATTTATTGCAAACATATCCAATTATAAGAGAATGAAAATCTCTAATCTCGAAGAAGAGGAGCTGAAGAAGAGGTGGCCATCCCACCGATTTCAATGAAATATTTTAGGTGATACTAGATCGAATTTAGGGCAATGTCATTAAAAACAAACACATTCATTTAGTGATAATATTTATTATTGTCATTAGTATGTTAATTTAGCACTCTTTAAAAAAATATAAAATTATGAAAAACTTGATTCAACGTTCTTTTTATACTTCCAATTCTTCTGATACCCGTCAGATTGTTTTAATTATCATAGGAAGCATTTTATCATTGATCATTGCAAAAATTAGTCATCTCATTTTTCGTTCAATTTATTTTAATTTATTATTTTTTTCTGATCCTGTTATTAATGTCTGGATGTTGCATCTATTCAAGTAGAAATACAATTAAAAATATTTAACGATTAATACTGATTTCTAAAACATTAGGAACTTCATAATGAATAAGTTAATGTTCCGGTTTTACTGGATATAATTGATATAGTTCTATAATATTTTGATAGTTTTTGATTAATAAAAGAGAAATTTGAAGTATATTGAGTAATAAATACAGATTGTTAAATGGTATTAAAAGTAAACGCTTGGCAACACAATAAAGTGTGATCTGTACTGCGACCTAATGACGGAATGCGGAACTAGCCTATCAGGATATTTGCAATAATTATTTTTTTTCTGTTTATTCTTATCTTTTATTCGTTATACATGAGCATGAATGACGCAATAGAGGCCTCCTAGTATACTGTATGTTGAAAATTCTGAATATGGGCTATTAAGTAATAAAAAAAGAAATTAGTCTAAAGCGGTTTCGATAGGCTAAGATACCAAATGGAAGTGTAATCTTTCGACTGGGAGGTTTGGCAGCCTCTTGTAATCTAGCTACTTGGAGGAACTGAGGATGAGTTGAGGACAGGAGTCACTGGAGCGAGGTTTTTCCCACGTCGACCAGGCGTCCGCACTAAGCTGACCATCAACATGGTCGCCCTGTGGGAGCATGGGGTGATCAGGTTCGCTAAAGAGGGGCGCACCGGGCCAGTGGGAGGGGGCGTAACCCAGCAGCCAAAAGTCCCCGTGGTCAGCAGTAGTGGGACCGCGCCCGTGAGTGGAACCCTCGCTTCAGCCTGGCCGATAGACTCGAACTGGTTTCTTTTGTTATAAACATCTTAATTTTTATGATATTGTATTATTATATCAATAAAAAAAGAAATTATTTTTGCTCGAAAATAATTTCGTAATAATGTCGTTAAGAACAGTAATTATCTTTGAAGTAGTTTTAACGATCATTACCATCACACCTGCTCGCACATCACCTCTTTCAGTTTCAGTGGAGGAGGAAAGTTATAGCAGTAACCAATTGTATTCAATAGAATTCCTTTATAGTTTGAATACCTCCGGGCTACCGCCTCATAGATTGATATTAAAACCATTAAAATAATGTTACGATTTTTTAATTTACTATAGACGTCATGATTCTATTTTTTCATACACAGAATATATTTAAAAGCATTGTATAAAAGTTCTCTAATGTCCTGTGAATAAATATAAAGACAGGAAGTTAGTCGGGATGCGGTCTATATATAATACTATAGTGTTTTTTATTATATTTTCTAACGTTTCGGCTCACGTTGTAAATTAAATGAATGGGACATAATTTTATTAATCTAGGACTAGTGCCCATTTAGAATATATTATCAATTCAGAATATACATGTCATTGAGACCAAAGCTTAAATTAAATATTGCATAATAATTGGTAATAATTGTGAATCGCTGCAGTTTGGTTAGGGGGAGGATTAAGGTCATACATACGGGATTGAATGGAGGATTTAAATTGTAGGTTCTGTAAAATAAAGGATGGTCGGTGATTTCTAATATTCTGATATATGAAGATAGCAAAGAAGTATTGACGGCGGCAGGACTGGTAAAGCCACTTCAACTCGGTGTAATACCGGGTAATATGCGTATCTCTTGAGATCCCGAAGACAATAGCTATTGAGCAATTCAATAGACGTTTAAGTTTAGCTTCGAGTTCACCATACACCATACTGCCATAGTCAAGGTGGGGGAACACAAGAGAGGAAACCAGGAGTTAACGGGTCTTGGATACAACGTAGAAGGTTGAATTGTTCTAAGGTGGAAATCGTACGACGGGAAATTTGGAAGATATGTGGTTTCCAGGAGAAGGTTTGATCAAAGGTTTCAGTGGTTGTAGGAAGGAGAAGAATGGGAGTTACATAAATGGATTGAGGAATGAGGGGGGGTCCTATCAGGATGGCTTTTGTCGTTTTGGCATTTAATGTGAGGTTTGCCCAAGCAGGAGTGCCCAGAAGGAGGTTACGTGGCGCTGGTTGCGCCAACAAAATTTTTGAGGGGGCATATTTTGATGTGTTTTGAATTTTTGAGGCGGGTGAATTTCGACAGTTATGAATTTTCGGAGTAAGGGACAACTAGAAAAACATGATACATACCTCAGAAAGTGTAATTTTATATGATCTACAATTTTTCTAATTCTACTTTAGCTTGCTCTGTATTAGGAAAAGGTGAGCAATAAAATATCTTAGGAGGAGGAGGAGGGGTAGGTTCTTGCGCCATCGACTTTGGGGGAGGATGGGTCCCTCTGTATGTAAGGATGTATCATGCAGACCAAGGCCTAGAGCCAGATGCGGCGATGCATAGAGCAGCAGCGGCGTATAACCACTCAGTCCACTCGGTAACAGGGTTTTCTCTATTCGAAATTCTTTTTGGACTCCGAGGGGAGAGGAGAAATAGCGGAGGTACAGCGGTGGACGAACAGTTTTTTGAGGAAATGGTGAATAACCGCATACAAATCGGAAAGTTATGGGAGATAGCTCGGGGAGGGGGGGGGGGAGGAGGATAGAGGCAGAAAAGAGAAGAGTGAAGCGCGAAAATATGAAGGTCAAAGATAAAGATAAGTGTACCGGAAACTGAGATCAAATAGAAGCAAAGAGCTGATAAGGTATGAGGGTCAATTTAGGGTAGTCGTAACACAACCTAGCGACTATTCAGTGTGTTTCAGGGAACCTAGAAAGTGGAGAACCGTTCATATCGAACAATTAAAGTTTCCAGGGGGAGGACCTGAATAATCTATAGTAAATTGGAGCATCCTCGTCTATGTAGACTTCGAAATTTGTACATATAATTTTATCAATTTATATTATTCGTTTTATTTTATTGATTGAATTGTTTTTTTGCTATTTTCCTAGATTATAAGTTAATTATTTTATGTATCTTTAGGTTATAAGTTAGTGGTAAGATATATATTTTTTTTTTGTATTTTAGTATTCAAATTGCTATTTTTTTTTGTTGTTGTTCTTTTTATGTAGTTTACGTTTTGTTTTTTAAAACATAATTTAAGTATTTGATTGTAAAGTTGTAAATTCTGGTTATTGCTCAAATTTGAGAGTTTACGGAAGTTTTCGTAAACTGGCAGGGAGATGATAGGGGGGAGGGGCGAGTTAAGGTCCAGAATTAATTAAAATCAGCTGTTAAATTGGTATATATTGAAGAACAAGGAGTAGAATAAATCAGTTCTTATACTACAGTCTTGCGTGTTATTTCAGCTCTCTCTCTATTTTTTTATTTCTATTCTTTAGTGTGAACTTAAATATATATATATATATTTTTTTATTATTATTTTTTTTCTGTTGGCGCTACAGACCATGAAGGTCTTTGACCGCGAGATGTGGTCTCCTAGACCCGTCGGGCGGTCACCCGTCCAAGTGCTAACCACGCTCGGCGCTGCTATATATATAAAATAAACCTGTACCACTACAACCCATGAAGGGTCTGGGGTTCAGTACTATTTAGGGAAAGCACTGTTTCTAGGTCAACGGTTGTGCAAGGAGGTGATTTGACCGAGATCACGCTCAACCGCCAGGTTTTCCCCCTTAATTAATTATTTAATTAAAGGTACCCACTTTATAGAGGCTGGGTGTGCCCCAGGAGGGACTTCTGACCCAAGGTCGCCCCACGGCCAATGAAACAGATAAATAAATTTTCTGTCATGAGCCGGGGTTCGAACTCGGGACCTTTGCATTGGAAGCTCAGTGCCCTACCACTGAGCTACCCCGCTCCCGCTATATATATATATATATATATATATATATATATATATATATATATTATACCTTATTACTTTGGGACAAAAAGGAAGAAACTAGCTAATTATATGAAATGATTTTTAAGTGATTCTTGCAGTCCTATTAAATGTATTTACACGAATAATAATACTTTTACAGATAATTTTTTTTTACATTCATACGACATGGTTGTATTTTACCATTTTGGCGGAAGCTTCAGCCCCAAAAACCCTCCTTCCCTCGTAGATTCCGCATGTGTATTCATATAATAATGAACCAAGCAAGGCACTCAAATCAAATATGTAAGATATTAAAAAATGTATGATTAGATCTAATGGGATATTCTTGAAGATAAGTATATCTACTGAGTACAATAGAATTGAAATGGGAAAAACATATTAAAAACGATACCTTTATGTGTCCTTTAGATCCATAAATAACTGCTGAGTTGTCCATTTTTATTTTACTATGAGTACAAAAAGTCGCAGTCTTTCCATCGTAATATTTCAATACATAGTTGATACTTTCATCGACACCATTTTCATTTAAATGACCAACAGCAGAGACAGATTGGGGATTCCTTCCAAAAACAAGAATAGCTAACTGCAGCACATAAACTCCCAAATCAAAAATGGTTCCTCCACCTAATTCCTTATTTCTGAAACAATTATATGACACATAAATTTACAAAACACAATCACATACTTCTAATTAAAGCTGATTCAATTAAGAACATACTTTATTCTATCGACAGAACTAATAGGTATTCCTAAATTAGCTGTTAGATACATAACATCGCCTATGACATTGGAGGTGAGCAGCTGTGATAGTTCATTATATACTGGAAAGCAACGTGACCAGACGGCTTCCATGAAGAATAACATATTTTTTTTGGCCATCTTAAAAATAAAAATAAAATAAAATGAACTCACATTTGTTGCATACACAAAAAAATCATGAGCTAAACTAAAGGTCTAATATCGAAATGAATAATCTATTTAAATTAATGAATTTAAAAAATATTAATTTATTTATTTGGCTGTACCCGCTAGGCTTATTGGCAATCCTATCCTCACTCACACCTCTCATATTCTACTGTAAAATCCAATTCTTCTCAAGAATTCCACCAGGATCTCCATTTCTTTCTCCGCATCCTACTACATCTCCCGGATAGTCTCATGCATGTTGAAGATCGTATAACCGCATAATATTTACAGTCCACAAGTATGTGGTTTACAGTTCTAAATGCACCATACCAGACATAAGTAAGTGGTTCTCGACCGTGGAGTAGGTATCCGTGCGAAGATTCGCAGTGACCAATTCTGAGAAGGCACAGGATTATTTCCTCTTTACTTGATCGCCTGTTACTCGTACACCATTTAGCACTATTTGGTTTAGCCTGAACAAGCCTGGTTTACTTCATTATACCATAGTGGGACGGAACCCAAATGAAAGCTATTACGTTCTCTGCCCTTTTACTGAACCAAATAAGTTCTAAAATTTCGACTATCATCGCATGTTTAGATGTTTAGTTATGAATTGCCATTAGCACACTCATTGAATCATTTGCAACTAGGAATGGACAGTTCCGCGCTGAATTCTACCACTGGAACGGAACGAGACCCTCAGCAACTTCGTTCCGCCGGAACAGAATCTAAGAATATAAACGCCTTTAGGTTTCGATGGGTAAATGTTCGGTAGAAAAGTTTATAAAAAAAGAAATGATAAAACGAAAGAGGGATTTCAGGAGGTTTATTTTTTCGCTTCTTTTCTTCTTTTTCCTTGAACCAGAAGTCGTAGTAGCTTGTAGATTCATTTTGAAACAATCTACACTATAAAACAAACGTAAAAAAATAGCATGTAAAGTGTGTCCTGTCTTAAAAATAAAAAATTATTATCATAACAAGGCGGCGACAAAATTGGATCTCGCTCCATCCTAAAATTTACCTCGGTTTGGCTCTTCTCTGCTATCACACACACACACACACACACTTTTAAAATTCTAATAATAAAGTAGTAATACAAAAACCTTACTGTTATCAATTCTTCCGCATCTTTATATTTTAAGCAAAGAGGTTTTTCACAAAGCAAATGCTTTTTGTTTGACAGTACTAGTTTACACAGAGCATAATGCGTTGTATTAATAGACCCAATGTATACTATATCTGTAAATGAAAATAATTGGGATTATTATTATTAATCATATGAAATAAGAATATACAACTTATAATATAACTTAAAAGAATAATAATCTATATCCTAATACCCTATTTAAAAGTTCGCTTTATCCAATAAAACTTTCACCTGGTTCTTTTCAATCTTAACAGTAAATTTCTAACAAACCTAATGACTTATCTTACATTAGTTTTTTTTTTTTTTACTAACGATTAATCTAAAAATGTGAAGAGAGTTGTTTTAAGAATAATAATTGCTATTTTTTGTTCAGACAATTTTCTTGCTGTATGCAAAAGGAAATCAAATGCAAAGATAGTCTACGAGGTGGGGGAGGGGATCGGGCTTTAGGGCTTATTTAGGAAGCATCAGTACATCATTTATAAAATGTAGGTAATATTAAATGTTATTAAATGGAAGAAAGATTAGATAATGGTATCTTTGTTTTGTACATGGGATAGAGATTAGATAAGTGTATGTTTCAGGTATATTTAAAAGTCAAATAAGGATTTATCACAAGATTTCAAAATCAATCAAGTTTTCATGTACTGGAACTTACAATAGAATAAGATGCAATGCCATCACACAATTTTTGCAGAGTAAAAGAACTTTAATAATTATATTATAAATATTTTTATAATTATAAACATTATATTCACAATTAAGAATTTTTACTTATAATGCTTGAAAGTATTCATATATTTTGTTCTAACTTTGTTAGATCAGAATGTATACTTTATTGAATATTTTTCTCTGGATAAATGATTTGTTAACATTGTAACACTTTTTATGTCATACGATAGGTAAATAAACAAGTACCTATTGATTTATCTTTAGCTAGATCTTCGTAGCATTCATAAGCTAGAGGAATATTATGTTTGCGAGCAAACTCTTCAGCTTTTTCCTTTTTACTAGCGGCAACACCCACTATTTGATGTTCATTATCTGGTAAATAATTTAATGCATTCACAAAATCGTTGCATATTTTCCCTGCGCTCAAAATTCCCCATTTCAAGGCCATTTTATGATTCGAAGTTGAACAGAATCTGTAATGTGTAATAAATAAAAAAATGTATTATACACTTTAATTAAATTGAAAAATGAATTAAAATCATGATCAAGATTTACAAGTTCATATAAATTCATATTACTTACATAAAAAAAAGTAGATAATTCAACTAATTCTTCATTAACTACCTGCAATCAAGTAATTACTAGGAAATCCACGTGCAGCTTTTTATAAGGAGAATATCGGTTTAAAAAAAAAATATATGGATGTGGAAGCCGTAGGTTAAATTCAATCATACGGATTGCGGAAGAAGCAGATTACGTGAAGAAGTATGCAACAATAAATCTTATATGATTGTGGTGTACCGGGTATGATATGGAAGTTTGATAATATGTGTGTTATTACATTTGACAGAGCTTATCAGTAGCTTATCAAATAGCTTATCTGATAACAGGGGGGTCATGTAAATGAATTTGTAATTACCAGTACAGATTCAGGAATGAGGGTATTTTTTTTCTTTTTCTTTATTATTATTATTATTAACGGTAATTTCTTCGAAAAAAGGGGGATAAACTATATGAAATGATGTTTAAGTGTTCTGTGAAGGCCTGCTAAAAAATGAAAAAAAGTAGGCAGGAATTGATGAAACAAAAGTGCTTTCAGGATGTTTTGTTTTTTATATTGTTTTCTCTATAGATGGTTCACCCTATATAATATAAAAAGTAGTTAAAAGAAAAAAATATGGATGAATGAGTTTAGTAAACAAATAAAACAATCTGGAAATGCTTTATTTTATACTCCGAGTTTTGTATCTACATGGTTCTTCCAAAAAAAAAAAGAAAAGTACATTTGTTACAGTTAAAAAAAAATGAACAAATTAAAAAAAAATGATGACCCTTTTCTACTTTAAAGACAGCAGTGAGTTTTTTCTCAGCTATTATTAATAATTTCACGGTTATGAACAGTTACTTGAACATATGACCAGAGGAGCCCCCCCCAAGATCGATGGCACATGAACCACTCCCCCTATCCAAAAAAAAAATTACTCACCTCTTTTTAAAAACAGTGCAAGTGAAAGTAGGATTAGACAAATCTTATTACATATACAATTACACTTGCTGAAGTCTGTCCTATGTTTTACTCCTAGTTATCTAATTTTAAACTCTTCACTCCGAAAATTTATAGCCCCATCGAAATGTGCAACCCTCAAAAATTCAAAAACCAGTCATAATGTGGCCCCCTCAAACTTTTTGATGGCGCAACTTACGCCGTGAAACCCCCTTCTGGACACCCCTGCATGTGACTAGAAAATTAAGTTAACCTAGAAAAGAATCATACGTAAAGTTATAAATATGACGTGTGATAAATATTCAGGAAGCAGTCATTATAAAGTTTTTTTTTATGCCGACGTTTAAACCCAAACATGTGCGTCATCATCAGGGCGTGTTTTGAGCACTGAAGGTGTTCATGCACTGACCCAAACATGCCCTGATGATGACCCACACGTTTGGGTTGAAACGTCGGCGCCAATAAAAACTTCATAATGACTATGTCCTTTATATTTATCACCCATGATATGTAAACAGTCGACTAACTTCCTTCAATAATTCAGTTATATGAATGATTTTATTAAATGTGGACTAGCATAAATACAATATTTATTCACTTTTCTAAATTCAATTTTAATACAGCGCAAAATTGTTCCAAAATAATCTATATTTTGATACCAATTGTTGGACAAGAAGGCTGCTTCTTGTTCCACATTCTTGTTTAATACGATATTTTCTTCTGGTCCAATGGGATTCTATACTTTGAATGTTAGCGTCTGAAATCGGATCAACAAAATACACGTTCCATACGTTTAATAAAACTTATGTTTGTAGTACCAATAATGAAACCCGTAATATGTTTAAGCAACTGTAACTGGAAAAAAAAATCACTGGTGTGTTATCAAGTAGAAAAAAGTCAAAATAATTGTTTGTATGTCTGAAGATTTAAAAAAAAATGTTTTTATAAAAACTTCTCCAATTTTTTCATTTAAAGTTTCACTCGCTTGAGCCGGTACCACTAGTTTTCCATCAATTATAAAAACTGTTTCATTGCTGTTGTTATAAGGTCCAATCCAAGACTTCAACTTTGATGAAAATGATGAACATACTTTTGGCATTTTAAATAAACAGAAATATGATAAAAAAAAAAGTATGCAAAAAAACTGAAAGAAAATCTTACAATTATTATGATGTTTATATGGGACAAGAAGCGGAAATGGATTTCCGGGAATTGGTGAACATCTACATAGTGAATATTTAAATGTGGTAATTTCCTTTTGTTCATTGAAAATAAACCTCTGGTTATAATCTTGAGTCGCATTTTAATTTGTATATATAAATAAATAAATATTCATTTACACTTTAATGTGCAATTAAATCCGTCTATCTTCAAATATGCAATTATTTGACCGAGATCGCCAGGTTTTCTCCCTTAATTAATTATTTAACTAAGAGTACCCACTTTATAGAGGCTGGATGTGGCCCAGGAGGGTCTCCCGAACGAGGGTCACTCCACGGCCAATGAAAAAGATAAATAAATTTTCGAACCTGGGACCTTTAGCATTGGGAGCTCAGTACCCTACCACTGAGCTACCCCACTCTTTTGTATCCTAATATCCTCAAATATGCAAAATAAAACTTGTCTAATTGCACTACAGTGTACTTATTCATATAGATATTTGGCCAGCGGTTTCGATAAAAAAAAAATCACGCAAATAAAATATGCAATTGGATTAAAATCCGGGCTCTGGTTTTAAATATTTTAATGCAATAAAGTTAAAATATGGGATCCCACTAAAAAAAAAAAAAAAATAGAAAAATATACTTTTTTTCCATCTATCCATATTTGCTTCTGTGAGTGATCTGATGTAAATACTTAAACAATTACAATAGGTACTCTTTATAAATTATATCGCATATACAGCTATTAAATTTATATATGTTCCGAGAAACAGTATTTTTGAAAAAAAACCCTCTATTCTTGCCACGAACCCTAACCATGAAAAAAGACTCATTTCCGAACCCATCCACATTCACATGAAACAGAATCCTGCTAATCATAAAGTAGATAAAAACTGCATTTCTTTAACATATAGACACATTTTAAATCTTATAAGTTAAAAATAACTTATATATTATATCCTATTATTTTTATCTACTTTCAATTTTTATTGATTAATTCAATTTAATTGTTCATTATTCTAAGTATTTCCACTTTGTATGATCTCTCTTTTATTTTATTTTAATTTTATATTTACATTCTACATCAATATACGATCATTCGTTTTCACCATGTCTTCAAATGTCTTTAAATAAATAGTCTTCCCCTACTCCTTTAAGAATAACCAGTCATGAAACTGTAATGAGGCCGATGAGATGTCAGTGACACATTATAAGGTAATTTTAACTTATTTGAATCATTTAATAATAAATAATTGAGTAATAATAATGTTATAAAATAATTAAAGGTGGACATGACAAAAATAAAAAATTTATTATATGAGTAGACGCATGCAATACGCATAAGTTGAAAAGGACAGGTACATGATTGGTATTTTAGGTATATAAAAAGAATCTCTGTATGTTGAAGTATGTAATGTATTAAATATGACTGTAAATTGTAAACAATTTTTAGACTTGAAAATGGCTCAACGAGCCGAAACGTCGTAATCAGATGTGTAGTCATTAAGTTGACAAAATTTTGAAAATTGGTGTAAAATGGCTGATAATAAATTTTTTTTTTAATTTCTTTATTGAGTATTATAACAATCTGTCTGTTGGACATTGGTTATAGTGAGGTAGGATGACATTCACACCATATGTACAAAAAAATAAAATAAATAGAACAAAATAATAATCAAAAGTATATACAATAGACAATAAAATAAAATAACCTAAAAAATAAGAAAATTAAAACTAAGGAAAAAAAAAAAAAAACACATGCATACCTATATACAATCAGGCGAGGGAACTCCAGGAGAACCCTGCGCTACTCTCCCAACCGCGTCACTGGTTCTAAAGCCAGCGGAGATTGGTCGAGAGCACTTTAGCCACATACACACATGTTTTGAGTGAAGAATCAGGCCATTGCCAGAACTCCAATTTATATAATCTACAAAAGGTCGCGAGGCCACTGCCGTTTCAACCTTCTTGGAGGATTATAGGGATGGGAGATGCTTGATAGGGATTGTGCAAGAGGATTTGGGTGGTAAGTAAGGTTCTGGTGAAATTTGGAGAATTTTTCTGGGATAAGGTCTAGGACAAATGGGATGTTAAGGTCATGATGTAGGGTTTTGTTGGATACATAGAAAGGAGCATCGACTATTGTTCGAAGGACTTTAGACTGGAAGGATTGGATGCGCTTGATGTTAGAAAATTTTGCTGATCCCCACAGTTCTAGTCCGTAAGTCCAAATAGGTTTCAGTATTGTCTTGTAGATCAGTAGCTTGTTTTCAATGGAAAGTTTAGATTTTCTGCTTAGTAGTCGGTATAGTTGGCCGTATCGCCGGTTGAGTTCTTGTCTTTTGAGTCTAGTATGCGGATTCCAAGTTAGTCTTCGGTCTAAATGAAAGCCAAGATACCGGACTGTGTCTGAATAAGGAAGCTGGATGGAATTAAAGAGTACTGGTGGACAGGAATTGCGTCGGAGTGTAAAGGTAATATGTTGGCATTTAGATTCATTAACTTTAATGCGCCAGTTATTACACCAGTGCTCAATCAAGGTGAGGTGACTTTGGAGATTTAAGGATGCTATTTCGGGATCAGAGTTGGATGATAAGATTGCGGTGTCGTCAGCGAATGTTGCAAGAAAAGTATCGGGATGAACAGGGATGTCAGCAGTAAAGAGGATGTAAAGCACGGGACCCAAGACGCTGCCTTGGGGAACACCGGCTTTAACGGAGTAGATATTGGAAAATTCTGTTCCACAGCGAACTCGAAAGGAGCGGTCAGAGAGGTAGGATCGGAGGACTAGGTACAAGGACTGAGGTAAATGGATTTTAAGCTTGGAGAGCAGTCCGGAGTGCCATACCCGGTCAAATGCCTGTGCAATGTCCAGAAAGGCACCCGAACAGTATTCCTTGTTTTCTAGGGCTGAGGAAATATGATCAACAACTCGGAGTCCTTGTTGAACAGTAGAATGTTGAGAGCGAAAACCAAACTGATGGGAAGGGATATTTTGGGATTCTATAATGGGTAGGATTCGTTTCAAAAGGATCTTTTCAAAAATTTTTGAAAGGATTGGGAGTAGGCTGATTGGTCTATAGGATGTTGAGCTATTGAGAGGTTTTCCTGGTTTTGGGAAAAGGATAATAGTGGAG